TGTGTGTGTGTGTGTGTGTGTGTGTGTGTGAGTGTATGTTCGTGCGTGTGTGTGTGTGTGTGTGTGTGTGTGAGTGTGTGTGTGTGTGCGTGCGCGCCACAAATCTTCATTAGAAATGACAAGCATGCTTGTATGAATCATTCCCCCCTAATTATTTAAACTAGGATAATTAGTTCATGTTCTGAAACGAATAAACAAACAACAAATCAATAATAGTAAGGATGATAATAATTCGTCTGTTTCCCTGGGTTTTTTTTCAGCACTTGTAACACCTTCTCATTAATGTCGACCGTCGTTAATGCAACGTATGACAGCAGGATACCGGCTTGAACAGCTTTTATTAAAAGGACCACGAACAAGATGACAAAGCGAGGGAGTGGAAAGCTCACTATGCTAGTATTTTCCTACAGAATATTAGATCTAAATTACCAGTACTTTCAATTGTTACTCTCCATAAAATATAACTCCATTACAGTGTACACCCTTGGATTCCTTCATGAACTTGTATAACACCTGCCCATTATGAGGGACGTGAATACAATGTATGACAGCAAGATATCTGCTTGAATAGGTTGGGAAGTTCGCACAATTACAGCAATAAATATTGTAAGTGTTGGCTCGCGCTATTCAGCTTTCCTGCTAAGCTGTCCCTTTGAAGGGCTTTGTCTTTCCCGGAATATCGAATAAAGTAATACAAAGAGCGTGCACGCTGACTGCATTAGCGAGCCACTCCCCTTTCCCGCCATGAGCTACTACTACTACTACTACTACTACTACTACAACCATCATTCCAGCAGTTGCTGCAAATGATAGTGGTGCTGCTATGACTATAATATATGCATGATTGTTTTTTCCCCCCGTAGTTGATTGATTACATCACTATAATAATATATACAGCCTCATTGATGCATTATTTTGCTGAGGTTTTGTGCAACTCTTTTCTTTAAGTATTTATGCTATTGTTTTTACTCATTCCGACTCAAACATCATAACTGATGTACAATGCAGTATCTACAACTTGTATTGCACTATGCAACTGTTATTCTTACTTGTTCTGTCTCAACAGATATCTAGTTTGTAACGTAAGGATTAAAAAATAGAACAATATGTTATCACATCATAAGCGATCATTAAGAAAAGGGCAACTTTGACCCCAAAAAGGTAAATGATTTTTAAAAATAAGTCTTTTCATTCCAAGAGTGAACGATTTGAAAACCCTACCCATATCGATAATGTAAAGCATCATCATGTCGCGATATGTTATCGCACAGCCCGGGCTTTATGGGATTGATCGTGCGTGGGCGGGGAGCTTGTGTTTATGCACAGCTGTTCTCCTATTTTGTTTTTTTTTGTTCTTCCACCGAATGGGGTCGCTATGGTCACACAGGGGAACTTTGTGAGTCAGGAAATAACTAGCGCATTATAATGAGAAAACGCCCACAACCAGATTTTTTTTTTTCGCTCGCTTCTTCCAAGATAGGAAGGAGACCCCTCTCATTGTCAGGTGAACAGCTTTGCCGAGTCAGCAGAAACATTTTCGGTGACACAATTATTATAATGAGTAAGCAGACCTCACGCTAAATGCAAATCTTTGAGGTGTACTTTTAAAATGTTAATACAATTTCCTACTAGTCTTTGATGTACACCGCAGCTTCTTTTTTCTTTCTTTTCTTTCTTTTTTTTTCTTTCTTTCTTTCTTTCTTTGAACTCCAAAGTAATGTTTTTTCGACAGCAGCTTCCTCAGACTGGAATTGCCCCCCACTGCATCTAAGAGAGGCGCCTTCGTTGACACGTTGATAGAATTTAAAACTGGTAGTAAAGGCACATTTATTTCGATCCTATTTTACCAACATGTTTGATTCTTCTTTTAACAGGTGTAATCAGCAGCCACAGTGATTGTCTTTTTATATATGCATTCTTTTCTTTTGTTTTACCCCATTACGAGTGCATAAAATGTGTTTGAAAGGATTGTTAAAGCTTACATTAAATGGGCATATAAGTTGTGTGTGTGTGTGTTTGTGTGTA